CCCCAAATTGATGACACAGAAGTCAGAGGCCGGACGGATTTCTCACATTCTGTATTTTATTTCCCGGGTTGTGTTTTATTCTTATTAAAAATCAGAAATACTGGAAATGCCGAATCCCCTTTAATATCAACCAGAACCCGGCAACACGTTCCTAGGGGGCGTCCACTAGGGGGCGGTGACACCACGCAGCTGGAGGAAGCTTTCTATATATTCCTAGGGGGCGGTGACACCACGCATCCGCAATGCACTTTCTATATATTCCTATGGAGCGTCCACTAGGGGGCGGTGACACCACGCAGCCGCAATGCACTTTCTATATATTCCTATGGAGTGTCCACTAGGGGGCGGTGACACCACGCAGCTGGAGGAAGCTTTCTATATATTCCTATGGGGCGTCCACTAGGGGGCGGTGACACCACGCAGCTGCAATGCACTTTCTATATATTCCTATGGAGTGTCCACTAGGGGGCGGTGACGCTCCATAGGAATATATATTCCTATGGAGCGTCACCGCCCCCTAGTGGACACTCCATAGGAATATATAGAAAGTGCATTGCAGCTGCGTGGTGTCACCGCCCCCTAGTGGACGCCCTATAGGAATATATAGAAAGTGCATTGCAGCTGCGTGGTGTCACCGCCCCCTAGTGGACGCCCTATAGGAATATATAGAAAGTGCATTGCAGCTGCGTGGTGTCACCGCCCCCTAGTGGACGCCCTATAGGAATATATAGAAAGTGCATTGCAGCTGCGTGGTGTCACCGCCCCCTAGTGGACGCCCTATAGGAATATATAGAAAGTGCATTGCAGCTGCGTGGTGTCACCGCCCCCTAGTGGACGCCCTATAGGAATATATAGAAAGTGCATTGCAGCTGCGTGGTGTCACCGCCCCCTAGTGGACGCCCTATAGGAATATATAGAAAGTGCATTGCAGCTGCGTGGTGTCACCGCCCCCTAGTGGACGCCCTATAGGAATATATAGAAAGTGCATTGCAGCTGCGAGGTGTCACCGCCCGTAGTGGACGCTCCATAGGAATATATATTCCTATGGAGCGTCCACTACGGGCGGTGACACCTCGCAGCTGCAATGCACTTTCTATATATTCCTATAGGGCGTCCACTAGGGGGCGGTGACACCACGCAGCTGCAATGCACTTTCTATATATTCCTAT